GCAGAGATGGAGATTCCAGGATGGTTTGACTTCTAAGAGTAATTTCTAAGTTTGAGGCCTGAACGTAGCTTTTGAGACTGAACATTTAGAATGACAAACTTGCTCCTTTTCCACTGGAGAAAAAGGGAAAAAAAAAAGTAACTTGCTTTGTTTGTTTGCTTTACATTCTGGAAGCTACATGGAGTGTTGACTAGTGGCCAGAGAGACCGATAGTTATCAACCAGAAACTAGCCTGCCCAAGCCAGAAATTACCCTTCCAGTTACTGCCCAAAAGCAAGGTTTTCTTTCAAAACTCTGCAGAGTAATGAAAGATAAATGAAAGTGGCTGCTATTAAAATCGTGGGTTTCATTACAGTGGTGTGATAGCCAGAACATTAAATGTTCTGCAAGGTCGGACCAAAAAAATAAAGGTTCACTGAATTTACATGCTGTAACTAACTGCCTGCTCAGTTCCCTCTCATTTTTCTTACAGCCTTTAAGAACAGTCACAAAAATGCTTAAGCACAGCATAAGGATATGAAACCAAATGTGCCAAGTCCAATAATGACTCGGTGTCAGCTGCCTGATGCATGTGGTTGCACAGCGTTGTAAGAGTAGTTTTAAGTCATTTCCATTCACCCTAAACTGTTCTTCTAGTTCTTGCTGGAGACTGCAATTTAAGCACTCCTCCTTAAATGAAAGCACTGTATCTAGGTGCAGATGGCAACAGTTACAGGCACTAACCAGATGCTGCAGTCTCTAATTTGATTGAAAGGGTATAATTAGACAGCAGAAACACTTCAATGAGAAAGTAACGCACAGAGGAAAGGACAGAAACCACTTAAGTGATGCCAAGATACCCCGGCAGTAACAGAGGCAGGGGCCCACGGATGGAAGGGGCAGAACACCACACTACCTTCTTCAGATGAGAACATTTTTGTTTCCCTGGAGATGCAAATAGGGATTCTATTATCATAGGTTGCCACAGTTCTTCATGTGGGAACACTGATTAAAACCAGAAGAAGCTTCAGGAGATGAAAGACGCAAATATGGCTTCTGTGGTCATTATTAAAAATATTTTTAGCATTGCAATGGTTTTCTTTGAAGATGCAGTTTTATCGATTGAACCAAACGTTCATTTGCGTACTATCACATGATTGGTCAGGGGGAAAAAATATTCCATATTATGCTATGATGCAAAATAAATGCTTTTGGGAAATATAAGGCAGGTTTAGACCTACCCAAGAGAAAAGATAGTGTAGTATTTTCACATTTCAATACTTTTCTCTTCCAATTCATACTAACATAACACAAGCCCTCATCGAAACTATCAGGCTTGTGTACCTATACTGTAGCATTAAAAAAACCCTAAAACACAACAGTTGCTACAAGCTAAAGAAAAAACCTCAGGAAAGAATTATCTTTGTTCAAAATTGTTATTTTCAGAATTGCTAGAAAACAATTTGGAAAACTCCCCGTTTGGTAAATCAGGCAGTTAAATTCTGACGTGATGCTATGAGGACACTTGGTTAGCTGATCATTTTTCCTTTACAGTGTAGGGGCACTCCACATGTATTTCAAAAATCGCACCTTGCTCATTCTACATATTCACATACGCAGACATATAATTGATTAAAGTCCTCAAATGCAATAATTTTTTCTAGTCAGAATGGGAGACTTATTTAGTGTTGGCCCAAGACAGAGAGTAGCCACCGTGACTATTTGAATTATGCCACCTGACATTTGACCAAACCTTGACTTAAGCATCTGTCTGTCTGGTAAGAATGTACATTCCTGGAAATGTACAGACATGCAAAGCTCCTTACTTGTGTTCCCTGGCAGTGTGTGAGCTGTTACATATGTGAATTTGCTACCCTCGTGAAACTTTGATTACTAATCTTCAATCTTATCACTTTTTCATCTCTTTTCCTTTTTTTTTTTTTTTTTTTTTTTTTTTTTTTTTTTTTTTTTTTTTTTTTTTTTTTTTTTTTTCCTTTTTTTTTTTTCCTGTCTTTTAATAAAGGTAAATGCTATCTGACTGGCCAGAGCCTTTCTGGAATATGTTGGAAGCAGGCAAGTTAGGATATGAGCACGAGAGGCAATTCCCATTATTTCTAAATGCTAAAAGTATGCATTTTGTACATCTTTCCTTTCTATTTGTACAACACAAACATGCTATATTAGCTAGAGCTTTGCAGCTGCTGGCTGGTCCTCAGCCACAAGATGCAAACACACTTGCTTGTCTTGTGATTCTTTATCATTTGAAGTAAGAATGCATGATGTGGCCCCATAAGAATTTCTGTCCCTTAATACACCCATTTGTTTTCTTTCTTTGTGAAGATTTAAAACTGTTGTTCCGCTGTCAAGTGTGGCAGATTGAATCCCCTTGGTAATTTTATCGGGATGGGCCACAGCCACTGTGTGGATGGAGAGAGTGGTCAGTTGCACAACCTTTATGGTGTGATATGACAAAGAATGAAAATTTTGCAGCTGGCAGCATGTAATCCCTGTCTCCCTCCCACTTCTTTGGCTCCATCCTGCTTAAATCCATTCACATAACTCTGGAGTTTGAGTTATGCTCTATGCATGTACAAGCATGATATGCTGAAGTGTCTGACTATTTCATCTTCTATCTGCCTGGTTAGAAAGAAGAAGAAACAAAAGAATTGCTTTTTCAAGTATTTCCATGAAACTTGCTTATGGCATATCAACTAGAACTGCTTCTCTGAATCAGCAAGACATAGGCAGAACAAGGTGACAAGAGATACAGGGTTTGTTAGAGAAAGCTGAAATAACAGCTCAAAGGAAAGACTCTTGTGAAGAAAACTAAGGACATGGTAACCCAGTATTGCTAAATGGAAAGAAAACAGAGACAAGAGATTGATAATCATACACATTTCTGACAGGAAAAATTAAATGCATGCTATAAATACAGAAACTAGAAATTATAACTTATTGCATTGGCAATATAAAATAACATTTGTTCACCAAAACTAACAATTGCCAAAGGCATTTCCATCTCTTTGTCCTTGTAATAGAAGACTCACCAAATTCAGACAGTCCTTTAGTGTTAGGCAATCTATTCACCCACCTCTCATTTTTGATTCACTCAAGAAACGTGGTATGGCTGAAGTCTGAATGAACAAATGGCAGTGTCTGAATACAGAAACGTCAGGTGTTTGAATTAATAGAAACACAGTGAAGCAAAAACATTCTGTGAAAAGCAGCGAACTACTATGTGCAAAACCAATTGTTAACTCACCCTAATTTCTGACAGTTGGACTCATTTTACATAAAGCAATTCCAAAAGTTTCTTTCCTCTTAGCAAATGATGGTGGCACAGTCTGTATTTTGACTGCACTTCACAACAAACTTATTAAGACATGCATTAAAAAAAAAAAAGGAGCAGGCGTTAAAAACATACCATATGACAAACTCCTTACAAAAGCAATAGTAATGTTTGTCATCTCAGAATCCTGCTAGCTTCAAGTGCTACCTGACACAGCTGATCTCATTTCAATTCTGTGGGATTAAGGGTCTAGAAGAAGATCCTGATGCAGTTTGCACAGATTAAGAACTCTACAGATTTTGTACACGCCATACAAATTACAGGTTGTGGTTGAAATGCAGATTTTGCATTGTTTCCAGGTTCTTTAGCAGAAGACACATAGATGGCAATGTTTTCTAGATCCATTCTCCTTTGCTACACCTTCATTCAGAGACATTGTATGTTCTACCCTCCTCCCCCTGCCCCAGCTGCTTTTGCTCAGGCATCTCTGTTCTCTTTAGTGACCAAACATTCACACTGGGATATATCCTCCACTTGCTGTCATGCAGCCTGCTGTGAGGGACATGGTCACACATGGAGAGTTCTGTCCACAGTTCTGCACAGAAACCTTACAAGCAAACATTCTTCAACTTAAGCAAAGGAAGGAGTATGTACTATGTGCATCAAACATATCCTAATGGTACAGGGAACAGACTGTTCGAATGGTCTAGATGTGTCCCAGTCCAGGCAGCTCTCTAAACACTTATCTAAAAATACTCCCATGTTTTACTCACTTCAGCCTGGTAGAAGGCTTTTTATTCACAAAAAAAAGTCTATGTAAGTGTTTTCCAAATCTGATAAAGCACGTCTACAAAAACTTGATGAGCAAGTACGTGTTCATGGTGAAAAGAACTGGAGCAAATTCTACGTTATAAGAAGGATCAGCAAATAGAATACACAAAATGTATCTAGAAGGACCAACCATCTGATGGCTGTGACACTATGATCATCTGCCACTGCAGATCTCGCAAAGAATGGCCACTGTTTACCCGAGGACAACTGAGCTACTTGAAGTCACTAGAACAAATGAAATGAGGACAAAGGGGCATAGAGAACTTTTAAGTGAAAAATCACACTAACAGATAGCAAAGCTTCAAGCTTCCCAGACTCCTTGCCTGAACAAGAACCTAAATGTCCATGCTTGACAGGGAGCTGAGGCAGCAAGCTGCAGACAGGCGAGACGGCCACCTTTCAAGCTGTGGCTCTGCAGCCCCGGTTATGCCCTGCTGCCACTGCTTTTTTCATTCCCCAGTGACACACACTGAGTCACACTCTCCTCTCCCTGCAAATGCCTCCATTCCGCAGAGCTAGCTATCAAACCACTTTCATAGAGAGATGTGCTGCTCCTCTTTCTCTCACCTCATGCTTTCATGCAGTTTCCGAGCTCCCAGCTCAGCAAGCACAGAGAGCGCCTCAAACACCCGCAAACTTCACAACAAAAAAAAAACTCCCTGCGTGTTTGCAAGAGCCGCCTCGAGCCCGGGACCCACCAGGCGGGCAGGAAAGGACGTCGTCGCGACCTCGAAGAGGCGCTGCCGGGCGGCAGAGCCCTCCCGCGGGAGGCTGCGGCCAGCTGCGAGCGAGCGGGGCTCGGGGCTCGGCTGCCCGGCTCCCCCGCCGCCCGGCCCTCCAGGAGATCGGGGGGCAGCCCCCAGCGCGCCCCCGCCCCGGCTCCCCGCGGAGCGTCACTCACCGGACAGCGCGGGCTCGCGGCAGCAGCTCAGCGCCAGCCCCGACAAGGCCAGGACGGCGGCGAGGGCCGGAGGCTCCATGGGCAGCCGCCGCCGGGCCGCACCGCGCCCGCAGGACGGAGCCCCGGCGCTCCGGGGGTGGCAGGCGGCCGGGAGGAGCGCAAAGTGCGGGAAGCGGAGGCCCTACAGCATGTGTCCTGTAAGTGCGCCCCGGCGAGGTGCCGAGTGGCAGATGAGGGATCCTATTACCAGCCATGTGACAGGAAAGGATAGAGACCGACATCCCAACCTGCCGCAGCGCGGGACCGCAGAGCTGCCGCTTCCACTCTTGACACCGGCGGGTCCGGGCTGTCGGCCCTCGCCCCCGGCCAGCGCAGGGGCTCCGCGGGGTCCTCCCCGCAGGCCGGGCTGCCCCGCCGCTAGGGAGGCAGGGGCCCGGCGCCCCTCCGCCACACACGCACAGTCCTGCAGCCCAGCAGCGACCCACGCCTCACTCTCGTCACTCCCCTCTGCCTTCTCGCAGCCCGTGTCCCGCTGCGGCCGCCGAAGAGCCCGGGCAGCCGCGGCCTAGCGCCCTCAGCCGCCGCCCCGGCCCCGCGCACGCCCCGCGGCCGGCGGGGGTCCCTCAGGGGCGGGCGGAGCAGAGCGAGCCGCCGCAGCCCCGCTCCCCATCGCCGGGAGCCGCGGGGGCACGGACGGACACGACACAGGAAGAGGACGCTGCAAAGTTCGTGCCATTCCCGTGCTGCTCCCGCCCGCTCTCTGCAGCCTTTCTGGGGGACGCGGCTCCGCTCAGGTGTCCTCGCCGCGCTGCTCTTCAGGGCGTCGCTCTAAAGCTGAACAGGCACCTCCGGCCCTACAGAAATGAGCGGCCGGCGGAGCCGTGCCCGCAGCGCGCTGGGAGGACGCGGCCCGGCTGCAAACCCCCTTCGGCCCAGGGGGAGCAGAGCTGCCACCCGGGCGGGCACAGGGAGATGCTGCTCACGGACAGGCACACGGGCACGGACACCTGAGACATCTGCGGGCAGACGGGGGCACACAGTGATACATCCAGAGCGACAAACACAGAAGCTGAGACCCCCCAACCGAAAGAAAAGGAGCAGCGTTGCTTTGTGACAACGGTGAAGTCGCATGCAGAAAGATAGGGTTTGGGTTAGCAGAGTTTTTTCTCGTCTACATGCAGAGAACAAAAGACAAAATGTCAAGGTGGTAATGTCAAGCTATTGGCTGAACTTATCCAAAGTCTTATTACCTGACCTATAAGATATTTTAGCAATGGCAGCTTTGCTAAAAACCAACCAGCAGAAAAACCCACACTAACGGCAAAGTTGCTTTGTCAGGAAGGAGGGCAAACGTTGTTATTCTTGTAGCACCTGTACATCATTGCTGTGTAATGAAGTGGCACCTGCAATTATCCATAAAGGGAGAGAGCGATTTTCTACTCTGAGAGGGGAAGCAACAAAATACAGTATGTAGGCCTTAACTGTTTTATCAATACAGGGTATGGATATATATCTCACTTTTAACATGCAGAAACCTCCATCATATAAAGCTGTAAGGTTGATTTTGAGAAGAAGAATATGCTTTCATTTCTTTCGGGCTTTGTGACATATAAAAAGCAGAAGAAGGATTCCACATAATAGCATAGCTTTACACAATATTAGCTAAAATTTTAATATTTAATAGTTTTGAGCTGAATTCCTAGTGAATGTAGCTTTTTTAAGCTGATGAAATATTGAAAAACAATACCAGTGTTCTGTTAGCTTGGTGCTATGGTTTTTTTTTTCCTTTCTAGTGATAAATACAGAAATACTTAGTTCGTCACACATACAGTCTTCTCTCCAAGGACTGGGATCCCATTGTGCTCCCATTCACTCAATTTCGATTCCATTTTATTTGGCATTTTGTTCCTTAAGGACACTGGAACAGAGAGGGCTTACAAATTTATAACAGTGTATTGCTTAACAAAGCTCACTAAATCAACCATATCTCCAAAAGGCCATTTCAGTCTTCCAGCATTCCTGAGCAAAACCACTTTCATTCATTGTGCTGCCCTCTTTCTCCACCAATCCTGCACACACAGTTGATATGTGTGTATACATCAGTGGCACTGTTTTCTGTAACTGTAGCACACTGGCAATGGACAACCAGTTGATTGCCAGTGATAATCCCCCAGATTTCTTTCAAAGTTCTTTTTTTGTTATTGTTTTTACAAGACTTTTTTCTTTCTGTTCATATTTCAACTTATTGTATTCAAGGTCACTCATTCTCATTTTGTAATTTTCTTTTTGTGGTTTGTGGTCTCTGTATACAAACAACAACAATGGCAGCTAATAAGTAATGAATAAATAATTTTATATTTCATAATACATAGTCTGAGGCATTTCTTTCAATTTTTCTTGTGCCCATTATAAAGTAAAACCTATACTATTAATTAATTTAGTTTTCCTGTCCATTTGGTACAGGGTAGTTTTGGTATAGTTTGTCCTTGCTTTTTGAAACCACTATGATTTTCCAGTAGTCTGTGAGTTAAAGACCTTAAAAAACCAGGCCAAATGACCAGCAAAAGTGAACAATTCTTACACTGAAAAGAGCTGAACAATACAGAAATTACGTCAGAAACCCTTTGGGTTGTAGGTAAAAGCAAAGGGTTTTTTTTCCTGAAAGGATTCTGGACAAGGCAGTAATTCAGAAATCACTTTTTAATGAAGATAATGAAACACAGTAAAATACATCCAAATACAAATGGTATGCATGTTATGGTTGTTCAAGGAAAGGACTGCAAGTTTTGCAAAACATTTCCAGTGCAGCCAACAGACTTTTTGTTTTGAAGATGGACTCTAATTTGAAAGTTGAATAAAGATGGATTCTTAAAAAGTCATTCTACATTAATGTGGAAGGAAACATATAATTTTCTGAATACTTCCCTTCTCTCCTTTCCAATTGAATCCTTTTAAAATTAGGTGAGAACCAAAAAAAACCGTCACTTTGAATCTCTGTTCAGAGACTTGCAAAATATAAGAATGCTATGTTTAAATACTGTCAATAGATCTACCTCTCTACTGAAACAAACCCCCAAAATCTATAAATTCAGCCTGACCTAGCAGTAGTCCATCTGACTGTGCATCCACTTTCACATCTCTCTAAGCCTTACATGGCCCCAGAGAAGGCAAGTATTTCCCTGATAACTGCTAAGATAGTAGGCTCTTATTCTTTCCATTTTACCAGCTCTTAAGTAAAAGATGAAAAGTACAGAGAAATCATGAACTCTTTCGGTTTGGTCAGAAATCTGGTTCTGCTGGCAAAGATGTGACTGTCAGAAGAAACTACTGCCTGTAACATCGAGACTAATGCTTTCAGAAACGTTGGCTTTTGCTCAGCCTGCCATGATATAATCTCAGGAATTCGATTAGCATTTCCCATACAGTTCAATACTCATTATGTTGATTGCAGAAATCAAATTATATCATACTATACAATACCATTGTTTGTGTTTGGAAAGTTGATATTTGTTGCTGTGGACGGTTTAATCCTCTGCTATGCTTTTTCTGTATTTCATTAAAAACTCCTCTGGAATTCCATTGTCTCTTATTCTACTGGAACTTCTGAAACAAGTTTCTGGTTTCCTTTGTGTCTTGGAAGAAAAAACAAAGTTAAAAAACCCCAAACAAATCAAAGGCTAAAGATGAGTAAAAGTAGTTACCACAGAACAAGGTTACCTTAAGAACAAGGTGAGAAGAATTTTGGGGTTTTTTGAATAGTAATATTGCACCACTGTTAAAAGTACCAGTTCTGTGGAATTCCACTGCATAATACCCCAAACAACAGTATCCCTCCCCTGTCGTACAGTACTGAAAATTCAAAATATTTAAATTACCAAAAACAGTGACTAAATGAGATCTAGCACTCCTTCTATTTGGGCAACATGATGACATTAACAAATACTGAAGGTTTGCTATTATCCCTGTACAACAATCAATTTCCATTTTCTAGTACAATGACCTAAACTATAGGAGGAACTGGGCAAATATCAGTGGTGAGACAACCAGGAAAAAAGTCTGAGTGAGCAGTGGACTTGGGCTTCAGTGGTAAGTTCTGGATCTTAAATTGACTTCTTTTTTTTGGCTAAATGAAACATTTGGCCAAAATATTAATAGACACATTTGCAACTACCTAGCAGCCCTCACAACTAGCTGAGAGAGAAAAGCATAAAGCAGCTTACTGATTTACTGAGGACCTTGGTATTGTGGTTTCCTTCAATTCTAAACACCATGGTATCACTCCCCACCCCACCTCCAGATGTGTTTGAGTGAGAAACTTGTCTTTCACTTTCAGGATAAAAAGGTGTCTGGAGAAAGCCTTCAAAGCCTTGCTTTTCTATTGCTTTGTGGGTGTTGTTGGTTTGGTTTTTTAGTTTGGTGTGGTTTTTTGGGTTTTTTTTTGTGTGTTTTTTTTTTTGTTGTTAAAAGAGAAAGAAATCTAAAAGACTATAACATTAAATAATTGGGATTTTTACATATATTTTTATGGGCTTTGCTGCATTATAAGATACTTCCCTCTATCTTGTTATGTAAGTATGGTCCCAGCTGTGAACACTGAGAGCAGCTCTTTTTTATAGAATCATAGAATAGATTGGAAGGTTCCCCAAAGATCATGTAGTCCCAACCCCCTGCCATGGGCAGGGACACCTTCCACTTGAACAGGTCGCTCGAAGTCCCATCCAACCCAGCCTTGAACATTTCCAGGGATGGGGCAGCCACAGCTGCTCTGGGCAACCTGTGCCAGGGTCTCCCCACCCTCACAGGGAAGAATTTCTTCCTGATGTCTAATCTAAACCTGCCCTCTTTCAATTTGAGGCATTACCCTGGCAAGGACAGTGAAGTGTTTTTCATAAAAGACAGTAGCAGAAAAATACAATGTTTGATTTCTTTGTTGATGAGAAAAATTAATAAAGTGGTCAAAACAGTTGCTATTTCTTTAGGGGGTTCATTTGTGTTTTCAGTTCAGTTGGGGCTTACCTCTCCCTTCTACACAAAAAAGCCAGACGTGCCAGGACTGCAAGACCGACTATTCCAAATACACAGCCAAGAAGAATTAGTTGTTCAATAGCTGAAAAACAGAGACCAAGCATAAAAAACCAGGAAGACTTTG